ATCCATATCCATATCCATCCATCCATCCATCTCCATCCATCCATCTCCATCCATCCATCTCCATCCATCTCCATCCATCTCCATCCATCCATCTCCATCCATCCATCTCCATCCATCCATCTCCATCCATCCATCTCTCCACCCATCTCTCCATCCATCTCTCCATCCGTCTCTCCGTCCATCTCTCCGTCCATCTCTCCATCCATATCTCCATCCATATCTCCATCCATATCTCCATCCATATCTCCATCCATCTCTCCATTCATCTCTCCATCCATCTCTCTCCATCCATCCATCCATCCAGATCCATCCAGATCCATCGCTCTCTCTCTCTCTCTCTCCATCTTTGTTTGTGAATCTGTCATTTGTTTTTTATCTCCAACTGGACTTGGAACATACTGGAACTGTCTGGGAATGGGATTGTTGAATTCATTCGCCCTTTTGAATGCAATGATTTGAAGAGCAGCGGGACTGACTGGAAGGGCTTGCCAAATAGCCGCGAAGGTAGTGTCTTGACTTGTCCATGCGTGAAAGGGAACACAGTTGCCCTCTTGAAGAAAGCCTTCAATTTTTCAGTCAAGTGCCAGTACAAAATAGATCAAAACAGAATACACCAAACTCAATATACTCAGTAGACCTTCCAGGTTGGATGAAGACACCGAACTGGATTCAACCCCACACAAATGGCTCCAGAATGTTCCAGACCTTTCTGGGCTCGTCTCTTCCCTCATCCCTTTTTTTTAGGTTTTCTCATGTTTTCTCCTTACTAAGGCGCCGCCGAGGACGCGTTCAGTGGGAGCATCGAAGCCAGCCCAGCGAACTCCTGCGACGTGAGCATTGGCAATTGGGACATCACGCTGACATGGCATTGGGAAAAAGCAAATGAAATAATCATCAAAAACTTACGACAAAATAGAACTCGTTCCAAAACGCCCTAGAAATCGAACTGTTCTTGGACTCCTGGACCTCTGAACGAGCCTGCCAGGAGGTTGTGTGTCTTACCCGCTCAGTCAAGGTGCTCCATGCTTTCTCCAGTGCAGGATGATGGCAAATGCGGCAAATTGTGTTGTTGTTCTTGTTCTTGTTCTTGTTCTTGTTCTTGTTGTTGTTGTTGTTGTTGTTGTTGTTGTTGTTGTTGTTGTTGTTGTTGTTCTTGTTGTTGTTGTTGTTGTTGTTGTTCTTGTTCTTGTTCTTGTTCTTGTTGTTGTTGTTGTTGCTGCTGCTTGCAAGTGGAATCTACGGCACACGGCCACATTTTTCAAGATGGGGGATCCCCTCCTTGGCCAGCCGCAAGGTCCTTGCCTGCCGGGCACACAGCAAGAAGCAAACACCTGCCAAATGCTAAGGCTGCGAAGGTTCCTCGTTCTTCCAAAAGCAATCCAACCTACAGTCCTATCGCTGTAAGGGTAGGCAGGGGGGTGCCGCGCGAGGCGCGTGCCTGTGGAGCGGAGGTCTCCTGCTGGACGGAGGCCAAGAAGCAGTGGTCACCTGATGGTGCCAATCCAGTCGTATCGAACGTCAGAAGGGAATTGGACTCTCCTGGCACCTACATAACAGTGTCCCCAATCACCTTCTGACAAGGTACTTGGATCCCTAGGGAGCAATATGGAATGAATAAGAGTGTTGGTGTCATGAGAAGAAAAAGAAGCAAAGAACCCAAGTCGGAACCGTACACTGGGGTTGATTCCACAACTCGACCAACAATCATGATGCAATGGAGATATCATCCACAAGAACGACATCTTCTCTTTAGTAGTGGCTTAAGTATCGAGCAATTCGATGGCACAAACCCAAGTTCGGTGGTTTATGTGGGCCCCCATCTACTGGAGTGCCGACTCAGAAAACCCACTGCATCTCTCCTGCTATGAATCTTCTCCGTCTCGATGTCCCCGGACCCCCCTCCGTCCCGCCTTCGATGTCGCCAGCATCCAGTTGCAACGGCTTCAGGCTTTTGCAGTAGTCGGGTCTCTGCCCTTCGAACGGAAGAGGACGAAGAGGTGGACATTCCGGGTCGACAGATCTGACAGATCTGACAGGTGTCGCATGGAGAAAGAGGATCTGAAACACCATGCTTTGGAGAAAGGCAAGGTCATTGATCAGGGGCATTGTATTCACTACGTACCGTGGAAACACTGCATGTCCCCAGATTTCCACCAGCTTCAGTCGTCTTAGTTGGATGCGGCTTACCAGAGTCATGTCCTCCCCATCCAGTGGTTCCAGTGCTTCGGTTTCAGCCGATGACGGCTCCGAACGGCGGTGGATGGGATGGCACCAAGGGCGCAGTATTGCGTTTGGCACGCTCCAACAGAATTGCTGGGGAATAGTAATTGTATATATATATATATACGTATCATACACATATATGTTACATATTTAAAAGACTATTCAATATATACAGTTATTCGGAATATGAACTTTAAAAATAATGATTCGTGCCATCCACTTTATACCGGCCCGTCAGTGTTGCAGGAGAACCTGTCCATCAAGAGCAAGCTAGTTTAACAACAAATGTTTAAAGCAAATCTTCAAGCGCTTTGCAGCACGTTCCCCACAACAGGCCGTTAAGTGTGATGTTTGTTAACAAAGGGTCCAAGGGTGTACCTTGTTTGTCTCTGATCTTTTTGGGCAGTCTGATTATTGAAGGAACAATGATGCAGCACCTCCATGGCAACAGTCGCCTGCACCATCAGCCACACTGGTCGCGGGATGGCTGCCACAGTGCCTGGCTCCAAACCCCCGCAAAAAGCTCCCGGAACTGGACTCCTCTGCGTCACTGAGTCACTGCCTTGCCAACCCTCTGAGTTCTTCCATCTCTTAACATCTAAGATCATCTCGGTCACTTACATCTCCACACGGCCACACGGAAAGCCACAACAAACCACTCAGGGAGGAAAGCGCCCACGGCTGTGCCTCTCAAGTGTTTCAGCGACCAGGACCACCCTCCGGGCCAAG